CCAGCAGCCTAAATTTCTCCTTCAGGACCTCACAACTGCATTTCCCCACATAGTTGGTGCCGACATGCACCACGACCACTGGCTCCTCCCCAGCACTATCTACCAGCCTATCTAAAACACGCGTAATGTCCGCTACCTTCGCACCAGGCAGGCAAGTCACCATACGGTCAATACGTGGGTTTGCCACCCAGCTGTCTACCTGCCTAAGGATCGAATCACCAACTACCAAAAGCCCCCCTCCCACCCTGCCCAGGGATGGTTCCTTGGTGCAAAAGGATACCCGCTCACCAGCTGGGGAAGAGGTGCCTTCTGAGGGCACATTCCCCTTATCCTCAGCACGGTGCCCTGTTTCTCCAAGACCCTCATGCTCCCTGACAGCGGCAGGGCTGCCAGATCTAGAGTGGGACATATCTATCACATCCCCGAGAGTCTTTTCTGTGCGCCTAACTGACTGTCTCTGCTTCTCCAGGTCAGCCACCTTGGCCTCAAGGGAGCAAACACGTTCCCTGAGAACCAGGAGCTCCTTGCACCGAGCACACACCCAAGACTTCTGTCCAGTGGGCAGATAGTCATACATGTGACACTCCGTGCAAAACACTGGATAGCCCCGAACCCCCTGCTGGCATTCTGGCTTCATAATTCTTTTAAAATAAGTAAATATAATCCCCCTTTTAAAACCCTTTGTATTTATGTGATTTTTCTTGTCAAAGTCAAATTACTTTATGGGGAAGACAAAGAGCCTAGGGCCTTGGCTTTCTGGCTCTTCTTGGGCTTCTTACAGAGTCCCTAGGCTAAGAGCCACAGGCAAAGAGCCGTTTAGCTCGGACTTCGGCTCGAGCCTCTGGCAAGGTGCTTTCTTAAATACTGAATTACAGTCAATCACAGTCAAACAATGCCCCTTCCTCTCCCTCTCTCAAGCAGCCAGGACTCTGCAACAACTCTAAGTGCTTTCACACACTCCCAAACACAGTCCTCCCACACAATATCCTTAGCTGAATCCCCTCAGCTGAAAGCAAGTAAAAAAACACCCCTCTAGCAGCTCTGTCTCCTGCTCAGAGCTCAGCTGGGTCTCCCATGCCGGTAGATTTCTGGATCTCCCATGCCGGAGAACGGTATCCCCAGTCAGGGGGCTGATACCTGCCCCCCCGCCCCCCGACAGCTGAGAGGCTCCTACATACATACCAAACCTAACAACCCACACCTTCTATTCTGATGGTCTACTGGGTCATGGGAAGGGAAATATTTGCAAAAGCTTTGCTGCAATTTTCATTTATTTAAAATATTTCCATTAGTTGCTATATAATATAGCTTATTTTAGGGACTAGTATAGGTGTCTGTACAGAAACACACACATTTCATATTAATTTCCATTAGTTGCTATATAATATAGCTTATTTTAGGAACTAGTATAGGTGTCTGTACAGAAACACACATTTCATATTAAACAACAAAAGGAAAATACATTGAACCACTGATTTGTAGTATCAAATTTTGCTGACCTTCTCAAAAGTTCTACGTAAGTAGGTTCTAGACCCAGTTTCCACCTGGCCACTCTCCCGAGGCCCTCCGAGACCCGGCCTTGACCTGCCTGTCCTGGGCCTGGGGGCACAGAAACACCTCCTGGCAGCTCGTCCACCGGCCCATGAGACTTCAGTGCTCTGTGGCAGCTCACCCAGCTCTTCAGCCCCAGCTTCCCACACAGTCAGCCTGCACAGGGACCGTAGGCAGGATTTTTGAATGGGGGGGGGCTTTAAATGAGCCAGGGGGCACCCTGCACCTCCCCCCAAGGGAGCGCCCAAAAAAATAAAAAAATGGAAGTCGGGGGGGGGCCTGGATGGGAAGTCAGGAGGTGCCTTGGCGGTAAGTTGGGGGGCGGGCCCCGGGATGCCCCCCACTGTAGCCACGGGCCTGAGCCTGTGCCCTCCCAGGGCTGTGACGCCTGAGGCACCTCCCAGGGCTGGCTGGCTGGGTGGGGGTGTTGTCAGCTGGGACCCTGTTGGTATTTGTGTGCGCTGTGTGGGGCAGACTTCCACCCCTAGCCCACCCTCCCCATGCCCACCTTCACAAGGCTGACTCGGTTATTTCTTCAGAAGAGGGGTTAAAAAAAATAAATACGTTGGATAGAAGTGCCGCCTGGTCCATGATCTCCTAACCTCTTCCTGGATGCAGAACAAATGAGCCGTCCGAAGCAGCCCCCCCGGTTCATCCCGCCTTTCCCCACCCCTCCTGCTTCGCCAGCTTCTCCCGATGGGGGGCGGGCGTGACCTCGTGAGGGTCCAGGGGCAACCCGTAGCAGTCCCTCCCCCGCCCATGTCCGTATGGACTCAGATCTGCAGGAAGTCCGACTGGGCCGCTTCTCCCTTCGAAGTCCTCCCAAGACAGCCCAGCCATTCCACATCCAAGCCTCTTACTGGGAGAGGCTGGCGTGCTTCCCGGCTGGTCTGAGGGCCCCCGGAGGAGCCTCTTGCGTGGAAACGGTCCAGCCAGGCCCGCGTGTGCTAAAGAGAGAAATCCTGCCCAAGGGCCATTTTCCCAAGGGGAGCTGGGGCTCTCCACTTCCCTGTGGCCCCACCCTGGTTGACCTCTGCTCCTCTCCTTCGCAGTAAGAATAACCGCAGTTTCGACACACCAGTGAAGGGCCCCCCACAAGGTCCTCGGCTGCACATTGACATTCCCCGGGTCCAGCTCCTCATCGAGGACAAGGAAGGCATCAAGCAGATTGGTGAGCGTGCCCTCAGGCCCCCCCGGGGGGGGAGATGCTGAAACACACCCACCCACCCCCCGCTGTCCACTCACCAGACCACCGAGTACAGTCTTCCCCGGGGCTGGGAGGGACCTCGGGGGTTGTCACGCCAAGGGGACTAGGGAGGGAGGCTAATGCAGCTGTTTGCAGCTGGGTCGACTGGGACCCTCACTTTCTTGCACCATGGGCTGGCCAGACGCCCCCCCCCCACCTTCCTGGAGGCTGCAGACAGCACCCTGCCCTCTGGCCCAGCCCTGGCTGGGGGGACAGCCTCGCGGGAACTCCTCTTCAACCCCACGAGTGCCAAGCAGACATAGTTACTCTGGCGTTACTCTGTGTTCAGACAGTGCTGTAGCATGCCAGGCGGGGTGGGGGCACGGGACACACTGCAAGGACAGGGAGGGAAAGGCCTGCTGAGCCTTCGGCGGCGGGGACCTGCAGCGCACGCTTGAGGAGGAGCCCCCCACTGGACCAACTGAGCATTTCCCACAGGGGTTTGCTAACAGTGGGGGATACAGCCCATTTCCTGCTCTCTCTTCCACAGGAGATGACAAAGCGACCATGCCCGTGACTGACACGGAGTTCAACCAGGCTGTGAACCCTCAAAGCTTCTGTACGGGTGTTTCCCTGCACCACCCGGCACTAATCCAGAACACAGGGCCTCTGATCGATATGTCCGACATCCGCCCCGGCACAAGTGAGTACCCTCCAACGCCGTGCTCTGCTCCTGAGCGAGGAACGGCCCTCTCCCATCTCAGAAGCGGCTTCGCACAACCAGCACCCCAGCCAAGGAGTGTCCAAGCACGGGGTGGGCTCGGGACCCCATGGGGCACTCTAGGTCAGACTTTTCCACAGCTAGACCCTCTTGGGGGCTCCCAGCTCACAAGGATGCGTGTCAGCTCAGGAGCCCTGCCGAGCGGGGTGGAGCCCGGCTGCATCTGCGGAGAGAAGGAGCTCTGCTGGGTCAGGCCAGCCCCAGCCCTCGGGTCAGGTGCTTCTGGGAGTCCCCTTGGCACGCGGGGGCCACAGCCCTACTGCTTGGCAGTGCCACGTTGCCATCACCCCTGATCGACGACTTGGCCTCCGTGGGCTTCTCGGCTTCCTCTGTCGAGCCACCCCTCCTGGCAGCCCTGCGGGGCAGCAGAGCACCCTAATGGATCCAGGTCGGGGGGGGGGCACCGCCTGGGTGATGGTCCCAGCAGGGCCAGAGTGCGTGGGGGGGGGGACAGCAGAAAAGAGGACTGTTTGGGTCCCCTTCCCGAGTCACAGCAGAACCCGCCCACGCCCACTGTTGCAGAAAGAGAGCCCTGGCGGGAGGATGCGTGCCGAAAGGACTGCCCTTCACTGGGGGAGGGGGAACAAGCGCACACAAGCACCGCTGGACAAGAAGGGCGAGGCGGGGGCTGCGACTCCCCCTCCAAGGAAAGGCAGGGGTTAGCGGAAGGCCGGGACAGCCCCTTGGGGTGGCTGGATCTGCGTGTCCCGCTTTAAAATAACGCTTCCGAAGGACTTGACAGCACCACTCCTCAGTTGACAAAAGCAGGTGAAACCAAGAGGGCGGGGGCCTGCGGAAGCACCGCTTCCTTTGACCCACAACTGCATCAGCCCTTGCTCTTGGTACCCCCCCCTTCAGAGGCCACAGATCAGTTGTCGTCAGCAGGTCCTTTTCTACAGGGGCACCAACAGGGTGGATCGGCCTCCCCGCTGGTCCTGGCTGTAGGACTTCCATCCACTCCGGCTAGGCCTTCGTTTTTATTGTGTGCTTCTCTTCCCCATGGTGTGTTCGACTGCCTCATTTGTATTATCGTGGTAGTTGTCAGTAAGGGATGCTTCTCTTAACTTTTTAATCGTTTTATTGTTTTTATGCTTGTTTTAATTGTTTCATGTACCCAGCCTGTCTGAGGGCTCTTCAGGACATCTGTCTGATTTTCAAAGTGCATTGGGGGGGGATTGGGGGGGGCGGGGGCCTTCCTGTGCTTTTTCCTGTTGATTGATTGGTGTACTGTGCTTTGTTTTCAGCTTGCCGTTGCTTTGCTGAGAGCCGGCCGTGGGGAGGTGGTTAAGAGCAGTGGGCTCTCATCTGGAGAACCGGGTTTGATTCCCCTCTCCTCCACATGAAGCCTGCTGGGTGACCTTGGGCCAGTCACCGTTCTCTCAGAGCTGTTCTCTCAGCCCCACCTGCCTCACAAGGTGCCTGTTGTGGGGAGAGGAAGGGAAGGTGATGGTGTAAGCTGCTTTGAGGCTCCTCAGGGTAGAGAAAAGTGGGGTATAAAAAACAACTCTTCTTCTTCTCTTCTTGCTAGCCACCTTGACTCTTAAGGCGATAAAACAGGGAATCTTATTTTTAAATGAAGCTTGCCCGCCACTGTGGGAAAGTGGACGCAGGGGTCGATGGCCCTCGGTCTGGTCCTGCAGGCCGGTCTCTGGTCCTTCCCTTGGCCTCCGGTGCAGGCGGCTGCACTGCCTCCCTCACTGTGTTCCTCCTCCGCTTCCCAAGGGCAGATGAGACTCATTCCCTTCTGCGGCATTCGTCTTCCAGACCCTGTTTCCAGGAAAAGTGTCAAGTCTGTGCACAGCGCCAGGAACCGGTACTCCAGCCAGTGGACACTCAGCAAGTGCCAGGCCTCGACCCCAGCACGGACCCTCACCTCCGACTGGAGGACCGTCGGGTCCCAGCATGGCATCACGGTGACGGAGAGCGACAGCTACAGCGCCAGCCTGTCTCAGGACACGGGTGAGGGAAGAGCACGTGCCGGGGGTGGGGAGGGGGCCTTGCCCAGGCTGCCGCCAGTTTGCCCGGTCTCCGCAGCACCTCCGTTCCTGGGCCGGGGGAGGGCCCCCTGCAGGAAGAGTCTCCGTAACCTTCCTGGGGAGTTGTGTGGGGCAGGAGACGTTCCGAGTGGTGCCCTGACACGGGCCAAGTCCAGGGTCGGTGCAAGCCCCCCACTCTCCCTCCTTGCCCCCTTAGACAAAGGACGGAACAGCATGGTGTCCACAGAGAGTGCCTCATCCACGTACGAGGAGCTGGCACGTGCCTACGAGCACGCCAAACTGGAGGAGCAGCTGCAGCATGCCAAGTTCGAGATCACGGAGTGCTTCATCTCAGACAGCTCCTCGGACCAGATGACCACGGGCACCAATGAGAATGCAGATAGCATGACATCCATGAGCACGCCCTCGGAGCCGGGCATCTGCCGCTTCACTGCCTCACCCCCCAAGCCACAAGACAGTGACCGTGGCAAGAGTGTAGCCGTGCCCATCCCTCACAGAGCAAACAAAAGTGAGTACGGAGCAGTGGCTGGGGGCCGGCACACTCCCCTCCCCGAGCCCAGCCTGGCACGGCTACACCTGGCGCCGGCAGCCTGGAGGGAGAGCGCCGACCCCCGTCTCAAGCACGCCAGAGTCACTCCCTGCTGGGGGGAGGGGGGCACCCTCGCAGTCTGTCCACGGGGCCAAGAGGAAGGGTCTTCATGCAGCTGGAGTACATCGCATCAGTGCTCCCGCCAAGCTGTGAGGTCCGGTGAGCAAAACCCCCCCCTTTGTGAGCTGCTGGCATTAAGGTTGTGAGCCAGTGATTGGGCGGCTGCTGCATGAATGAGTTTGCTCCACAGCCCCATCCTCCCTGAGCTGGGACAAAAATGCGTGAGCCAGAGGCTAAAAACCTGTGAGCTAGCTCACACTGACTCAGCTTAGAGGGAACACCGCAACACTTATCCGGAGGCCACCAATAAGTCCTGTGGTTAAAAGATTGTTTTCTTGTACCAGACGGAGTCTGTTTTCTTTAAAAAACTTGTTTTCAGTAACCTACAAAATAGAAATGAGAATTTTTGATTTTTTAAAAAAATCCCCAATAAGAACAACTATTAGTCAAACAGCAAAATTTACTGACTGTAGTAGTGATATGGGAAGTAAACTTTGCAGTTTAGCTAATGAACCCTTGTTTACTCATTGGGTTCTTTAAAAACAATCAAAAATTATGATGAATGTTTTATATGGTAAGCTCCTTTACACATTTTCTCCCTGCAGCCTTTTTGGCTATTTCTGTTTTTATTTGCTTGTAGGTTTCATTTCCCACCCCCACCCATACGCCCGAGTAGGGCTGCCAAGTCCCCCCAGGGGGGGTGGATTTCCCCCCGCTTTGGAGGCTTTGGAGGCCCGATTTCCGCCGCCGTGGAATCGGGCCCCGGGGGAAAACCCACCCCGGCGTGCACGTCAGCCGGATGTGACGTGATGACGCCGGGCACGCTGGGGGCAGGGCCACAGCCATTTGAGGGGAGCCCCCCGCCGCAAGGAGAAACAGGTTTGGCAACCCTACACCCGAGTGTGTAACTAGCCCTGTTCCCAAGTTACAGGGAATGTATGTACAATATGTGTGCAGCCTCCACCTTGCTGTTCTTAGCATGTCTGCCAAGTAATTCTCTGGTTACAGTCGCTGCGTGTACACCTGACTGTGGGATACAAACCCCATGTTTATCCCGGTGCTGCCCCCCCATCTCATTCGTAAAGAGAACACACATTGGCGGCTCTTTCTTAAAAGGGATCCTTGTAAGGTGTGGTCAGGGCAAGAAAGTTGTGTGTGTGTGTGTGGGGGGGGGATATTTTAGGCTCAGCCAGGGGTTTCGAGGTGGCAGAGGAGCTTCTTTCTCTGCCAGCGCTTGAGACATTTTGGGCGCTTTCTGTGCAGTGAGGCTTTGCGGCTGTGGCCCTCCCTGACTGGCCACACCTGTCCTGCAGAAGCGTGGTGGTCTTGGGCTGGGGGGGTCGTGGTGGGTGGGAGGTGGAGCCGTTTCTCTCCTGACTGAGGAGACGGAGGGGAGCTGCAGGCTGGTCATGCGGAGGCTGGAGTGACCCTGTTCTGCAGCCGGTGCTCGGCGTCTTGAGCAATGCTCCCTCTAAGCTGTGGAGTCTTGTGAGCAAAAATCCTACTTTGTGAGCTCCTGGCATTAAAGTTGTGAGCCAGCGATCTGGCTACTGCATAAATTAGTTTGCTCTGGAGCCACCCTTCCTGAGCTGAGACAAAAATGTGTGAGCCGGAGGCTAAAAATCTGTGAGCTAGCTCACACTAACTCAGCTTAGAGGGAACACTGGTCTTGAGTTTGGGTTCCCCCCCCCCCCCCCCCCGTGTGCCTCACCAGCTTCTTTCCGCCTCCCACAGGTGACTACTGCAACTTGCCCTTGTACGTGAAATCCGAAGCATTCTTCCGGAAGCCGGACCACCCTGAGCCCTGTCCAGTGGTGCCCCCTCGGGAGGCCTCCATCCGGAACTTGGCTCGGGCCTATCACACGCAAGCAAGGCACCTGACGCTAGACGCCAGCAGCAAAGCCTTGGCGGTGCCACATGGGAACGCAGCCACAACCACTTTACCTCAGCGAACTCTCCCTATGCCGGGCTTGCCAAGCACGGCCACTCCTGCCGCCGCTGCCGCCGCCGCTGCCCCCATCGCAGCCCCTGCCTCAGGCACAGACCCCACCCCTGCCCCCAGCGTGGAGCCCCGTCTGCCTCCCACCACCAAAATGGGGGGGTCCAGAGACTCACTTCTAGAAATGAGCACGTCTGGGATAGGGAGGGCGCAAAAGCAAGGAGCTGGCACCTACTCCAAATCCTATACCCTGGTGTAGCAGTCAACGCAAGCCAACACAGACTTTTGCTCTTTTCCTGCATTATTTATATTGAAATAAAATAAGCTCTTGTACAGAATGGACTTCTTTTTGTATAAATAAAACTATTTTCTTCTTCTCCCAACTTGGGGCAAACAAGTCGGCCAGGGGTGCGAGGCATTTGGAACTGTGTGTGTGTGTCTCTCTCTCTCTCTCACTGGATTTTTGTTCTGTGTTGCAGACATTGGCAGGGGCACACAAGAGGAGCACTGTGTGCCTTTTCTCTCTTCCCTCCCCACCCCCACAACTGAGCCACCCAGCTGTTGGTTTTGAAGAGACTCCTTTGAGACTTGCATGTTGTTTTACTGTTTGGAGAACATTGGGACTTGCTTTGATTTGCATCTGCCTCTGTGTTAATACCTTTTTCTATCTAAAAAGCAGCACAGTGTGCAATAAAAGTTATGTTTCTATAACAGCGGGCTCCTTGACTGAATGGACTGTTAATGCAGCTGTGCTGGGCAGCCGTTGTGGCAGAACACACTGGGCACACGGAAGCTGACCTCCATAGGCCCGGAGCACAAAGCCCCAGGCCAGCTGCAGAAATCCGGCTTGACCAACGCTTGCACCCAGTGGGCAGTGAGATTAATCCCCAGCCCACTTCCTGCCTCCCTCCTTCCCCGGGGGGGTGGGGTGGGGGCAGAATCCTGAGGCACCTGCTGCTCTGCTAGCGGGAAGTGCGGGAGGAGTCTTCAGCTGGTTTCTCGTTCCCCTGTGCAGGAGACAGGAACAAGCAGGCAGGGCCCAGCCTGCAAGGGCCAAAACCAAAGACCTGGTCTTGAATTCTTATGGGTCACCCCGGGTGAATGTGGCTCTTCAGCTTCCCCTCTGAGAGAGAAGAGCCAGTTTGTTGTTGAGCAGGCACCAAGTTCAACTTACTTCTGTATCCTCCGACCCTCCAAGCCCTCCTCTCCTTTGTAAAAGTGTGTGTGTGTGTGTGGGGGGAGTGTGCCAACGCTTGCACCTCATCAGCCAATTCTTGTTACAGAAAAAAGTGCCCTTCCCCAGCGGGTGGCTGTAGAAAGAAGACAGTTCGGCTTGTCTCCTTGGACCCTCGAAAGTACAGGGCCAGCCTGAGGTGCAAGCAGCAAAGCTACATGTAGCCTGGGATAGTAAAACATTTGCAGGGCGTTCTCTAACAACAGGCCAGCAATGGTGTGATGGATGGTCCTCCCCCGCCCCGCCCCCCCCCGCACAGATCGAGCCCCAGCTACACTGCAGCTGCCCTTCAGCTGATGACAAGCGCTTGGCTTCAGAGGCCTCTGTGCACGGAATCCCCAAGGCAGGAGCCACAGAGACTGAAATGCACAGCTAGAGGGAGGGGGGATCCCCACCTGGGCAGCAGGATGCGTGCCATGGGAGGAGGCAAACTGGACCAGGCTCAGCTGTGTACAAAGAAGCTTATGACAAGAGGGTGAAGGAACTGGGTACATTCAGGCTGACAAAGTCAGAAGGACCGTCCCACGCAAGAGGGCAAAGACTTATTCTCTGCTGCTCCAGAGGACAACACTAGCTCTATGGGGCTAAGGTGCAGATAGATAACTCTCAGCTGAATATTATATTATATGGCCAGGGGCCTGCCTGTCTTTGAGACCACCTCTCCCCATATGAGCCCCCGTAGGAAACTGCGTTTTACAAACCAGCATCTCCTGGTAGTCCCCGGCCCTAGGGACGCCCAACTTGCCACAACCAACTGTTGGGTGGAACGAGCTGCCTTATGGGATCAGGGCCCTGCGGGACCAGTGACAGTTCTGCAGGGCCTGTAAGACAGAGCTCTTCTGCAGGGCCTTTAGTTGAGCTGGCGGGCATTCACCTTGTTCTGCCCCCCCCCCCCAGTGACCGCAGACCCTAGAAGCCAACTGGAATCACAGCATCACAGGAATTATTCAATGTCTTTTGAGGCACGTTGTTGCTTTAGAGTGTTGTGATTTTATTGATTTTATTGGATTTTTTGAAATCTGTTTTTATTGTAAATCTGCACTAGCTGCGGATCTATATGTTTGGAACCTGCCCTGAGCCTACAATGTGGGGAGGGCAGGATATAAGTCTAAGGAAATAAATAAATAACTGAATGAAAAACTTCCTAAAAGTGAAAGCGGGCAGATAATGGAACCTAATATTTTCCCTCACTGAAAGGCTTCAAGCAGAAGCCAGGAAACCCACTGTGGCGAGTACGCAAGCTGTGGATTTCCTGGCTGGAAGACTGGAGCCCTGTGGCCCTTGGACCCTCCCACAAGGGCACACACACACACAGCAAGCACGCACCCATGGGGCACGGCACGCGCTCCTGCCAAAGGCTGACGAGGAAGCTGCAAGCGACTTGCCAGGCGTCATCAGAGAAACAGCCAGACCAGTCAGGCGATCCTGCACGAGGAGGCGTGGCACAGGCCTGGCTACACAACGAGCACTCGCGGCCCAGTGTGAGCAAGCTCCACCCCTCACCTCCCGCCAGGTCTGACCTGCCTCCCCGAAAACCCCAAGCCCACACAGCACTTGCTTGTCAAAACAAAAAGGAGTCGGGGCAGAGAAGACGCCGTGGGCTGCGCTCTACTTTCCCTGCTTGTGCTGCTGGTATTTGTGGTCGTGAGTCCGGATGGTCACTGCGGCCCTCTCTGCTGGATCGCTCAGCTCCTCACTCTCACTGCTGGGTGCTGCACTGCCGTCACCTGAGGAGGACACAGAGGAGGAGGAGGAGGAAGAACAACAACGCCACAGGGTCACAGGAGCAGCACTGCCCTCTCCACATTGCCAGCCAATCCCCACCTGTGTGTGCAAGTGTGTGTGTGTGTGTGGGGGGGTGTCTCTCTTCAAAAGCTCCTTGCACCTGAGGCAGGCTGGTTCAGGCCCAAGCCAGACCACCTGACTCGCCTTCCCCGGTCACAAAGGAGCCGTGGGGAACTCCCCTTTAGAGAGCTGCGGGAGACTCATTCTGCTCAGGACTGTGAGGAGGAGTGCCTTGGGGTGGTGTTATTTGCCCCCTTTTGGAGATGATGTGCTTGCACAGAATACTGCAGGAGCCTGGCCTCGACTCGTTTTGCCAGAACACCTAGTCTGAGCGCCTCTGAGAGGAAGCGCAGCCTCAGCACCCGCTCCCTGGCACAAGTGGCAGTGGCCAGCCCGGCCGGCCGGCCCTCGGGAGGAGCGGGGGCACCATGGAGGCAGCAGAATGGGGGACGGGACCCGGACTTCCCAGGGGGCCACTTCCCACAGGGCGGCCACAGTCGCATGTCCAGGATCGCTGGACACTCACACAGACACCACCGCTAAAGCCTGCTCTGATAAAAGCATACTCCTTGGGCACAGCAGGCCGCTTGCTGGCATCCCGAGCGTGCCCGCTGACAGGCCGCAGGGCGAAGCCTTGTTCTCCTGAAGCCCGGCAGTGCTCCTCACCACCAGACAAATCAAGGCCTTCAGCGGCACAGCCCCCTCCCACTCGGGCGTGCACGGAGTTAGGGGGTCCAGAAGGCCAAGAGAGCCGTTCCAGCAGCATCCAACTGCAGCAGCCTAAATTCTGCAAACAGTTCCACAGCAATCCCAGTCAACCACACAGATTATTCTCATTGGCTCATGTGCGGGGGGCGGGGGCAGGGGGGGCGGAGCAGCATTCTCTCGTCTTTCCATCCTGCTCATCTCCTTTCATCCGATTATAGTGCAAAAGCCACTGAGAATAGCAGCAGGAAAATCCATTTTACTCAGGACATGACTTTGAGCTGCTACTATCAATTCTAACGGGGGGGGGGGAACCCATGGAGGAGGTGGCAGTTGCACGCACAAGGAGCAAACCCCTCCCCATAACACGCCGCAGGGAATTCCTGCAGGCAAAATGGTCAGTCTTAGAGAGAGAGAGAGAGAGAGAGAGACGGACGGAGACCGCCTCATGATGCTAGTGGGCCAGTGAGAAATGCTTCCCACTTGACCTTTTGGCCTTAAAATCACTGCTTGACATTTGACCTCACCTTTCCGTCCTGGAATTGAATAGATGCTGTTGTGCCGAGAACTCCCTCCTTTCTGGAAAGAACAAGAAGCAGAGTCCACATGAGCAGCACAGTTCCATTCCCTCCTTGCTTCTGTTACAGAGCCACCCACAGCTCACGTCGGCTTCCCTGATCCCCCATCCAAGCACTGCCGGGACCCTGACCTGCTTGGTGTTTCAGCCAGGTTCCTGCCTCCTGGGGACCTGAAAACCTACCTGGGACAAGAAGGTGGATGCTGCTAGTCGAGCTCTCTGTGGCCCACCAGAGGCCTCGCAGTCTTCACCAAGCAAGTCATTACTGCTCTTGGAACGTGGATTTGATTTGGTTTATAGCCCTCCCTCCCCTGCAAGCAGGCTCAGGGCAGGTGAACACAATACCAATACAAACAGCTCCCAGATGACATCAGGGCCCTGAGGGACCTTTTACAGTTCCACAGGGCCTGCAAGATGGAGCTCTTCCACCGGGCATTCGATTAAGGAGCCGTACCGTGGGACCCCTGGCATGACTATCACAGCCTGTGCATCGCTGGTCCGAAGGGACCGAGATAGTTCTACAATCAATGCTGACTGTACCCCATCAGGATCTGCTATTAAGATGATTTGTTATGATGTCTCACCATCAGTTTGTAACTGGGCACATGAGCACTTTGTGATTGGTTTTTAGAAATGTATTGTTTTAACTGTTTTAAATTTTAGGTAAGCTGCCCTGAGCCTACCTTGGTGGGGAGGGTGGGGTATAAACTGAATAAATAAACGAACAAATGAGAGAGGGCACGAGGAGAGGCCGGTCCAGGTGGTTACCGCGGCCCCAACCGCAGGCCAGGTAGAATAGCTCCGTTTTGCAGGCCCTGCATCAAGCCCCACGGGCCCGGATCTCACCCAGGAGAGCGTTCCCCCCAGGCCAAAAAGGCTCTGGCTCTGGTTGAGGCTAAGCGGATATCTTTTGGCCCAGGGATCACCAGAAGATTTTGATCCACTGAGCATAAGCTCTGTGGGGGACACACAGCTTGTACGTAGCTGTGGTAGTCAGACTGAGCTTGCATGTAGCTATTATGGCTGACCACCGCTGAGAGGTGTGTCTTCCTTGAGTTTGTTCTGTCAAAGCCTGCAGCAACGAATTCCAGTTCTGAGGCACACGCTGTGTGGCACACGATGGAGGCAGCTCCCAAGCTGGCAAGAGGCCAGGCTAACGGTGGCTCTGGGCCCCAAGCGCTTGCTCTGGGCGGCCACACGGTTTTGGGACTGCTGTTGCTGCAAGTGCTTAAGCAAGAGCAAGCTCGCCTTCACCCAGAGGAGTTCAGACACACTTCGGCATGACACACCGCGTGTCGCAGAACCCGAGACTGGGCATCAGGAGGACAAAGGAGCGTGCGGCTTCTGCTGTCACCACCCGGTGGCCTCAGCCCCCCCCCCCGTGCCGCTCCTCCCGCCCCCACAGGCCACAGAACCACACCTTCGCGCTCTCCTGCCTTCAGTACCCAAAGGCACCCCAACTCAGCTTGCGGCCCAAAGCTTAACTTTTTCACCATCTTAACAGGGCTTCCTTCTGAGACGGAGCTCCCGGTCCTGGCCCACCTTCCCCGGGTGGGTGTCCTCCCTCCTGGTGTCACATCCAGCCTATGAGAAGCATGTTGGCACGACCACACCTTTAAGGATCGGCAAAGAACACATCCCTAACCGGCCGAAAAGCCCCCGCAGCCGGCTGGCAAAAGAGGGGAGGCCCACCTACCTCGCTGTCTCGGCTGGTTCGCCGGCTCTGAGTCACGTACTGGACCTGCCACGGCAGGGGCTGATGCACAAGGTACGGAAGTGGCTCCTCGTGAAACAGGCCATGGCTAAACTGGGGGGGTGGGGGGGTGGGATAAGAAAGGGCTTATTAAAACGCAGAGCGGGTACTTCCCAGCATCTCCCCCCACCCCAGACTTTGTGTACACACCAGCCACCCTTCAGCAACGTGGCCCCTCATACCAAGAGTTGCAGGGGTCACTTGCCAGCTAGAAAAGGGCCAGAATAGCCCCACTGATCCAGAGCCCGCGTGGCCCGTCCCACAACCCTCTTCTGCCAGAGGCTGAGGACGCGCAACACACTTTTGCCCTTCCCGAGTCGCTTCCACTACAGGATGAAGAAATGCTTGGGAAGGACCCCTCAGAGGCCTGCCCAGCACACAACGCAGCACCCCTTCACAGGCCGGAGAGGGACTCACAGGGAGGAAGAGGAGTGCCAAAGGGCAGCGTTGGAACGCCATCCAGCCAGCCAGCCAGCCAGCCAGCCAGGCAACAAGCCAGGAAGCGGCAGGAGGGCACACCCTTTCTGCCTCCCCTGCAAAGATGACTCTTGCCTCAACCAGTGAAATGTCACTGGGGCCCAGATGAGCCCCCAGTCAGGAAGGAAGGAAGGAAGGAAGGAAGGAAGGAAACGGCTGAGGCAGGAGCAGAAACCCAGCGGCAGGAAGCCCCACCCAGAATAAAACAGCCCTTCCAATGCTCAAGGACAAGAGAATCCCTCGGCCCAGGGGCGACAGTGGCCCTTTCCTACTTCTTGCCCCTGGACAGCACGGCAGAGCTCCAGGAAGCTCCCAGTAGCTGGACTCCAAGCAGGTCACTCTTCTGGGCAGCGGGAGTCGCAGGGAAGGACCTGTCCGCCTCTGAAGTCGGGAGAGCCTTACCTGCCTCAGAGCCCGCACCACGAGGAAGAGGGCAGTCATCAGCGTGGCCAGCATGGCGAAGGAAGGAAGGAGGTCGCCTGCAAGAGGGCAGCTTGCCCGAGGTCAGCCCATGAGGAACGGCTCTTCTGGCGCTGCCACAGGGCAACCAGCCTCCAAACGACCTAATGAGCTTAGGGAGAAGGCCCGGCTGGGTGGAAATACCTCTTTGTCCTCTGGCACTTCTTCTAATCTCCGAGCTTAGGGAATGTCACATCCTCGCCTCCCCCCCCACCCCCACCCCGGCCACAAAGTAAGAGATCAGGCATTACAGGGCGGCAGAGAGGCCAGGGGCTTCATTTGCTTCCCCAGCAGGGATTAAGGGCTGAGCAAGGAGCCGAGCGCACTGCCGCTAAAAACGAGGGAAGAGCAAAACCAAACAACAACAAAAAACAGCCCCAAAAGGGCTCCTTTAGTTAACTCAAGTAATGAGCCAAAGTTCTGCGACCAATAAAAGCCGTGAGCAGAACGGTCCACCTGTTAACGAGTTGAAGCACTCGGTCTCATGGTAATGGGGAAAACGGGCAGGAGGACCAACGCTTCCCCACCCTCCTTGCAGAACAAAGCCCCTCGAACACTGGCCGCGGGGGGTAAGGGGAGTGGGGTGAAATGACCACACACCACTGCCGCAGAGACAAAAGGGACAGACCACCAGAGTTATGCAAAACAGTTCATTTAATTGGTATGCAAAATATAGCCTACAGACGAAAAGCCTTTTATTGAAGGATACACTGTGACACATGCCCCACACATGTGCCTCTTCTACTGGGGCTGCTGAACTCAGGGCAGCTGGTCAGCCCAAGTGACAGCGCTGATCCCAGCCGTCTGCAGGGAGAAAGCCCCTCTCCGAAACGCCCCCCACTGACCGTAAGGGGAGCTGCAGGAGGCAGGTCCAAGGGTGGGCCCTGCAGCAGCAGGATGGGGTGCGCAATGAGCCAGACCTGGTCACCCCCTCCAAGACAAGGGCAGGTGGACCGTGCCCACTGGACAGGGGCGGCACCAGCAGGCACAGCGCAGGGCAGGGAGATGCCCCCAACCCCGAGAGGGTCCCAGAGGAAGCGCCCCCAGGAAAGGCTGTGCTCCCAGGAAGCGAGCGTGCCGCCCTTTCGCTCTTCCATACCGCTGGCAGTGCTGCCAAAAAAGTGTTGGACTTCAGCATCAGCCGGGTGGGCAACACAGAAGGAACATGCCCACACAGCCGTCCACAGCCCCAAAAGACCAGCTTCTGTCACGGGGAATACTGCAGTCACCAGCTCTCACCTCCTGGCAGGAGCAGGTCCCCGTTCTGACAATGGCTCCCCAGAATCTGGAGGGGCTGGGGAGAACTGGGCGCCATGTGGCCGCCAGCAGCTGGGCCAAGCCTCGCTCTGCTCTTCGCAGTCACGGGAAACGGTGGGCGAAGCTGAGAGCACCCGTCTATATCACCCAGAGGACCGCTGGGCCCGACACCCTGTGGCCGGGGGGGGGGGGGGGGGGGGGGGGGGGGGAC